GTCCGCGCTAAAAGTTATGTACCAAAAAATCCAAAATATTTTTTAATCATAGCCCCCAAATCGCTGAATATATGTTCCACAGGAAGCAATGACCCTCGTGTCAATTGGAAAAATGTTTGAGAAAATTTCGAAGTTATAAAATACTATAACTCTCGACAAGTAGGAAAGAAAATGATAAATTCTAAGAAACATCCCAGTTTGAGAATCGGTTAAGCCTGATATCGGCTCAAAACTCCCTTACCCCATCACATCTAAAATAAGTATTAATATTAGGTAAATTTCCAGTAAACTCATCTCCCATTGTCCGCGCCGAAAGTCATGTGTCAAAAAATCCCGGATATTTATTGATCCTGGCTGGCAAATTTGTGAAATCGAATTCTACAGGAAGCAATGACCCTCATATCAATTGGAAAATGTTTGGAGACAACTTCTCAGTTATAAAATACCATAATTTCCAAATAATATTCCGATGCATACTCTCAGATTATCAACAAGTGGGCGAGAAAATCATAGATTCTAAACCACATCCCAGTTTGAGATTGATTGAGAATCGGTTGAGCCCGATATAAGCTCAAAACTCCCTCAGCACCTCACATCTAGAATTGCTACTAATATTTGGTGAATTTTTAATAAACTAAGCTCTGGTAGTCCGCGCTAAATGCTATGTACCAAAAAATCCAAAATATTTTGCAATTATAGCTCTCAATTCGGTGAAAATATGATCCACAGGAAGCAATGGTTCTCATAGCAATCGGAAAAAATTTGGAGACAACTACGTAGTTATAAAATACCATAATTCCCCAATAATGCTCCGCTGCATTCTCCCAGATTCTCGACAAGTGGGCGAGAAAATCATAGATTCTAAGCCACATCCCAGTTTGAGATCGATTGAGAATCGGTTGAGCCTGATATCAGCTCAAAAATCCCTTACCCCATTACCTTTAAAACTGGTACTAATATTAAATGGATTTCCTGTAAAATCAGCTCCCATTGTCCGCGCTAAAAGCCATGACCTAAAAAATCCCGGATATTTAGTAATCCTGGCTGCCAAATTCGGAAACACATGTTTCACAGGAATCGATGGCTCTGATATCATTCAGGAAAATTTTTTACGAAAGTTCTGCAATCAAAAAATACAATCCCAGATAAAAAAAATTAAGTTACCTTCATTCGAAAGCACGTTGAGCCTGATATCGGCTTGGAACTCTATCACCCAACCACATATAGGAAGAGTTCCTAATATTTAGCGGAATTCCACTAGATTTAACTTGCATAGTCCGCGGCAAAAACCTGTGCCGAAAAATCCTTGATATTCAGCATTCCTAGCCCGTAAATCCCAAAAAATGTGGTACGGAGGATTTAACGGCAATCATTAAATTCAGGAAAGTATTTACCTAACTTTCGCAATAACAAATATTATAGTTCCCATATAAGACATTAGTTCGCTTCATTCGAAACCGCGTCGAGCCTGATATTAACCAGGAACTCTATCACCCACCCACATATAGAAAAAGTTCCCAATATTTAGTGGAATTCCAGTACACCGAACATGCATAGTCCGCGGCAAAAACCTGTGCAAAAAAAATTCTGGATATTCATCAATCCTAGCTCATAATTCCAGAAAATAGGATCACCAGGATTCATCGGCTCTAATATCAATTAGGAAATTTTTTCAGAAAGTTCCACAATCAAAAATTGCTCTAGGTACTAGATAATAACTTACTTAGCTTCGTTTCAAATCGCGTCGAACTTGATATCGTTTTGAAACTCAATCACCTAACCAAAACTAGAAAAAGTTCCTAATATTTAGTGGAATTTCAGTAAACTGAACTTGCATTGTCCGCGGCAAAATCCTATGCCAAAAAATCTCGGATGTTCATTGATCCTCGCTGCCAAATTCGTGAAAACGTTTTCTGCCGGAATCCATGGCTCTCATATCAATTAGGAAAGTACAAAATGGACCTTCGGCATGATTGGAACTAACGACAGATAAGCCATGAGATCCCAACTCAAGAAAAATTCAAGAGAAAGTCTCAAAATCTTTTCTCCCTACCTTTATTTTGAGATAACATAACAGAGAGGTCATTCTTATGAAAATTCCCTACCCTGGTTTCAATTATTGGTTTTCTATTATTTTTTTTTTTTTTTTGGAAGAATCATCGGTTGCTGTGCACGATGATGGCCAGAAGAAAATCGACAAGAATCAACGTTACCCACGAAAGATAAGGCGGTTTCAACGCACTAAAATGATAAGCTGGATATCACCTTCGGATTTATACTTCCCCACCCTGCCATCAATTATTCCTTTTTAATTTTTTGATTTTCCATAAAACTTAAGCTTTAGAGTGCGCAATGATGGTCTCATAAAAAGTTTTCAGAGAATTCGACTTTCACATTTCCCAAAAGCTATAGGAATTACTCTCAAGGTGTCAATGCATTGAGCCTGATATCAGCATGGAACTGAATCACCCAAGAACATTTAGAAAAACTTTCTAATATTTAGTGGATTTCCAGCTAACTCAAATTGCATAGCCCGAGCCGAAACCAAATGCCAAAAATTCCCGGATATTCAGCAATCCTAGGCCGAAAATCCCAGAAAATATGATGCGCAGGATTCAACGTCTACTTTTGGCGACTTATAAATTTGAAAAAAGCACTTCCAACACTCCAACAATAACTTTTGGTCCTTCAAGAGCATAGATTATTAAGCCAAAACTACTGGGAATTGTCTGACCTCTCTTTCGCATTTAATTGGTCCTTAGACTAAGAAATAATTTGCCAGAGGAATTAACAATAAAAATGGGATCTATGTTAGTCGATTCCTCTGGAATAAATGCGTAAGGACGATGGTTAAGCACTCTACCTCTTCTGCTCCTTCAAAAGCACAGAATACTAATCAAGAATAATTCAATAATTTTGCAAGAATTAGACATGGCTTGTGAGAACTCAAAAGTCTCAGAGATACACGAAAGTTTAGATCCTGCACTTAAAATTCGCAAAATTCTGAGACATCTAACCAAATTTTAAGCTACAACCAATTTTAAAGTGTTTCCAACTTGATATGGACTTAAAACAACTTCCCCCTTACCATAACTCCAATTATGCTTCGATTTGTTGGATAGCGAATAGTCCTCCGGCCTCGGAAAAAGGGCTCTAAGGGCTTTTATAACCCATCGAATTGCCTTATTTGCCAGCTTCGTGGTTAGCTACAGACAATTTTGAGATCACATGATGGTGCTTCCAACTTAATATGAACCTTAAACCCCTCCCCCCTTACCATGACTTTCATTTTTCAGAATAGTCAAGGGCTATGGTGCGCGATGATGGTCTCGTAAAATTTTTCCAGCAAAATCGAAGATTAAAGCTCTAAAATTTGTAGAAAGTACTTTCAAGGATTCAATGCTCTCACATACATAAGAGAAGTGCGGAGAAGTGGCGAATCCCAACAAATTACCTTCTAATGGATAGCGAATAGTCCTCCTGCCTCGGAAGAATGGCTCTAAGGGCTTTTATAATCCGTCGAATTGACTTATTTGCCAGCTTCGTGGTTAGCTACAGCCAATTTTGTGATCATATGATGGGGCTTCCAACTTGATATGAACCTTCAACACCTCCCCCCTTACCATGACTCCATTTATGCCTCGATTTGCTTCATTTTTCAGAATAGTCAAGGGCTATGGTGCGCCATGATGGCCTTGTAAAATTTTTCCAGAAAAATCGAAGATTAAAGCGCAAAAATTTATAGAAAGTACTTCCAAGGAATCCATGCTCTCACATACTTAAGAGAAGTGCTGAAAAGTGGAAAATCCTACCAAACCACTTGTTAATAAACAGCAAATAGTCCTTCGGACGGGGAAAAGGGGCTCTAAGGGCTTTAATAACGCAGCTAAATTGATTTCTTTGACAGCTTCGTGGTTGGCTACAGCCAATTTTGAGGTCATATGATCGTACGTCCGACTTGATATGAACTTGAAACCCCATCACACTTACCATGACTCCATTATTACCTCGATTTGCTTCTTTTTTTAGAATAGTCAAGGGCTTTGGTGCGCGATGATGGCCTCGTAAAATTTTTCCAGCAAAATCGAAGATTAAAGCTCAGAAATGTATAGAAACTTCTTCCAAGGATTCCATGCTCTCATATACTTAAGAGAAGTGCTGAGAAGTGGAAAATCCTACCAAACTACTTGCTAATGGACATAAAATAGTCCTTCGAATGGGGAAAAAGGGCTCTAAGGGCTTTTATAACCCGTGGAATGGACTTATGTGCCAGCTCCGTGGTAAGCTACAGCCAATTTTGAGATCATATGATGGGGCTTCCAACTTGATATAGACTTGAAAAAACTCCCCTCTCACCATGGCTCCATTTATGCCTCGTTTTGCTTCATTTTTTAGAATAGTCAAGGGCTATAATGCGCGGTGATGGATCCATAAAAATTTTTCAGAAAAATCTAGGATAGAAGTTCAAAAAGTCATACAAAGTAACTCCAAGGAATCCATGCTCTCACATTCTTAAGAGAAGTTCTAAGAAGTGGCAAATCCTACCAAACCACTTGCTAATGGACAGCAAATAGTCCTTCGGACGGGGAAAAAGGGCTCTCAGGACTTTAATAATGCGGCTAACTAGACTTCTTTGGCACCTGTATGTGTTAGTTACAGCCAATTTGAGATCATATGATGGGGCTTTCAACTTGATATGAACTTGAAACCCCATCCCCCTTACCATGACTCCAATTATGCTTCGATTTGTTTAATTTTTCGGAATAGTCAAGGGCTATGGTGCGCGATGAAGGGTTCATAAAAATTTTTCAGCAAAAACGAAGTTTAAAGCTCGAAAAGTTATGGAAAGCATCTCCAAGGAATCAATGCTCCAGCATACATAAGGAACTGACTGACCTAATATACCCTGTGTAGGGTATTTGATTTTTTTTTTAATAATTAATTATCAGCAAGTATTTAAAAACAGTCAATTGCCTTTGAATCAAGTTCACAATAAAAATAACACTCCTCAATTGAACTTGTTTGCGGGTCGAGACGGTTGTCAATCGAAAAAAAGAAACTTGCAATGCTTTGGCTAAGAGCATTTCGTAATGTTGCGATATTGTGCTGTGTGCTGCTGGATACAAAGCCATGTTTGGTCACGGCGGATATTTTACAACAAATAGCCCAAATTGGACTAACAAATACGCTGGAGCAAAACCTCAGGCCAACAGGTGAGTTTTTTTTTTATCGGAATCATTTTGAAATGGTGTTTGAGTTGACTATTCCTTTCCAGTTCCCAAAGACAATGATGTATTCGATTTCATTGTGGTCGGTGGTGGAACGGCCGGCTGTGTGTTGGCCAATCGTTTGTCCGAGAATCCCAACTGGAGTGTGGCCCTGCTTGAAGCCGGTGGTACGGAGAATATTATCAATGTCATACCCGCCATGGCGGCCTATTTACAGGTCACGGCCACAACATGGAATTTTCCAGCAGTTCCGCAAAAAGATTCCTGCAAGGGTATGTTCAACAATGTGTGCTTCCATCCCAGGGGACGTATCCTGGGCGGAACTAGCAGCATAAATTTCATGATTTTTATACGTGGCAATCGTCGAGATTTTGATAGTTGGGCAGCGGCCGGCAACACCGGTTGGTCTTATGATGAGGTGTTACCCTATTTCAGGAAAATGGAAAATGCCGTGCTGGATGGCTTGGAACAGACGCAATATCGCAATCGTTCGGGACCCTTAAATGTGGAACATGTCAAGTATCGCACACCAAGTGCACATGCCTTTGTGCGGGGCTCAGAGGAGGCAGGTTTGCCTCAAACCGATTACAATGGAGCCTCCCAAATCGGTGTGGCCTATGTCCAGGCCTCCACGCGCCAGGGGAGAAGGCATAGCGCCTATCGGGCCTACATAGAACCGATTATGTTTAGGCGCAAGAATTTGAAAATTTTCACCTATTCTAGGGTTACAAAGGTTCTCATCGACCCGGCAACCAAGGCAGCCTATGGAGTGGAGTTTTTATATCGCAAACGTCTGTTTCAATTCAAGGCCCGCAAAGAGGTTATACTCTCGGCCGGTTCGTTTATATCACCCCAACTGCTAATGCTGTCGGGTATTGGTCCAGCTGATAATCTCAACCGAATTGGTGTGGATATCCTACAAGAACTGCCGGTGGGAGTGCGCATGTATGAACATGTCTCTCACTTTGGACCCACCTTCATTACGAACACCAGCCGCCAATGGATATCCACAAATTTGGTTGCCACTCTGCCAAATGGTTTGGCATTTCTGGCCGGACGACCAGATACCCCAATCTCATCATTGGCCGGTGTGGAAGCCTTGGCATTTCTAAAGGCCCCATTTTCACCTCTACCCCCAGATTGGCCAGATGTGGAGTTGATATTTGCCAGCGGCAGCCTGGCCTCGGATCAGGGTACAGCCCTCAAACCGGGGGCCAATTTCAAAAATGAAATCTACGACCAAATGTATCGTCAATTGGAGAATCAGGATCATTATACGATCCTTGTAATGCCCTATCATCCCAAATCTGTAGGACGTTTGTGGTTGAAGGACAAAAACCCCCTGGCCAGGCCAATGATAGATCCCAATTATTTTGCCGTTGCCGAAGATGTGGAATATATGCTGCATGGCATCAAGGAATCCATACGGATCGCCCAGAGTCCAGCCTTGCAGAAAATTGGCGCCCAACTGCTAAGGGCCCCAGTGCCGGGATGTGAGTCGTTGGAGTTTGCCTCCGATGATTATTGGCGTTGTTCGATACGTACCCTTACCTATACGCTGCATCATCAGGTGGCCACAACGCGCATGGGCCCGGCCACAGATCCTACGGCTGTGGTCAGCCCCCAGCTGAAGGTACATGGTGTACGAAAGTTAAGGGTTGTGGATGGTGGCATCATTCCCTCGCCACCCACCGCCCATACAAATGCTGTGATTTTCATGATTGCTGAGAAAGCGGCGGATATGATACGCGGCGAATGGGAGGAGGGGAAATAAATAAAAGGCTGAATTTGAAGAAAAAAAATTTGAAAAGATTTTTAATTTTTCCGGGGGTTTCAAAAAAAAGGCCTGAATTTTGAAAGAAAAAAATTTTGAAGGACTTTTTTATGAATTAGATTTGAAAAAGGGCAAAAAAAATATTCGAGGATATTTGAAAGAAATATTTTTTCAAGGATCAAAGAAGAATTTTTTTTCAAGGATATTTGAAAAAAATGTTTTTCAAGGACCAAACGAGAATTTTTTTCAACGAATATTTTTCCGAGGACCAGTTTTTGAATTAGATTTAAAAACAAGGATCAAAATAAATTTATCAAGGATATTTGGAAAAAAAATATTTTTTCAAGGACCAAACGTGAATTTTCAAAGAATATTTTTCAAAGAAAAGTTGTCCTTATTAGATTTGAAAAAGGACCAAAAAATAGAACTTTTCCAAGGACTTTTGAAAAAAAAAATTTTAAGGACAAACAGTGGATTTAAAAACAAGGACCAAAAGAACTTTTTCAAGGATATTTACAAAAATATTTTTCCAAGGACCAAACTTGCATTTTTAAAGAATATTTTTTTCAAGGACGATTTTTTTAATTAGATTTGAAAAAGGACCAAAGAAGGATTTAAAAGATTTTTCAAACAAATTTTTTTCAAGGACCAAAAGTGGATTAAAAAATGGATCAAAATAAATTTTTCAAGGATATTTGAAAAAATATTTTTTCAAGGACCAAGCTTGAATTTTTAAAGAAAAAAATTTTAGGGACCTTTTTATGAATCAGATTTGAAAAAAGGCAAAAAGAATTTATTCAAGGATATTTGAAAAAAAACTATTTTTTCAAGGACCAAACGTGAATTTTTTCAAGGACCCTTTTTTTGAACCAAATTTAAAAGCAGGGACCAAAAAAATTTTTTTTGAGGTTATTTGAAAAAAAATATTTTTTCAAGGATATTTGAAAAAAAAATATTTTTTCAAGGACCAAACGTGAATTTTCAAGGAATATTTTCCAAGGGTCATTTTTTGAAATATATTTGAAAATGGACCAAAAGAAAATTTTCAATTTTTTTTTTTAAAAAATTTCTAATATTTTTTCGATCCCGAAACACTGTCCGACATTCTTTTTTGAAATGGAATTATTATTTTTGTTTTCATTTTCTGGTCATTTGGATGGGTTAAAGAGCTGGAAAGCTCTTGAAATCCACTCATATTGCAGTTCTGGTCTCGAGAGTTCCTTTTGATGAGATACATATTGTTGTCTGCATTTGACTATGTTCCGCCCTTGGTCTGAAGGGTATTTTTATTTTTTTTCTTTCTTTAAATTTCAATTTTATTTTGCCAAACTGTCATCGTTCAAAATGGGGTGTAACTTTATTTGCATTAGCAAAGGACAGCAGAGGGCTAACGGCATGGCGTATGGTCCTCCTGTGGTTCCTTTAATTACAATTACACTGGCCACAAGATAAGCGGTGATAGAAGGAGAAGACATTTCTATAAAAACACGGGGAGTGTTGCACAAAAGATTGATGGCTGGTTGTGTACTCAGGTGTATGAAATGGAAAGTTGCAAATGATGATGATGACGGCTTCGTTGTGACCAAAGGCAACTTGGATGGAGACAAAGAAGGACAATCATTTAGAGTGAAAGCAGATTGATAGCAAGCATATTGGGAGGTTAAAAGGGGGAGAAAATAGAAGAAAAAGTTATTTCGAAGTTAAAAAAGTAATAAAAAAATACTTGTCTAACCTCGAAGGACCAAATAATGTTGCAAGGAGGTTCGAAAAAAATTTACGATCCTCAATTTAAGGATCACAAGAGATGGCTTGCTTGTCAACAGAACAAAAATTTACCAATAAAATTGTGCAACCCTAAATCAATTGCATATTCCTTCAAATCTCAAAAATTTGGTCCTTCGAAGGTTTCTGGGGGAACCTCGAAGGACCAAATAATGTTGGGAGGAGGTTCGAAAAAAATTTACTAATCTCCATTTAAGGATCACAAGAGATGTCTTCCTTGTCAACAGAACAAAAATTCAGAAATAAAATTGTGCAACCCTATTTCAATGGCATATTCCTCCAAATCTCAAAAGTTTGCTGCTTCGAGGGATTCTTCATTCTTCAAAGGGTTTTTTGGGCAAATTTGGTCCTTCGACTTCACTACAACCGTTAATATTGTCTCTCAACAATCGCATACTCTTCTCCGGGGCCTATGGATAGCATGTATCCTCTCCAATACCCCAATAGCTCGAAAAAATACTGCTATTGATTCAATTTTTCTTTTCAAAGATAAACAATTAATTCTATGCGGAAATTTGGTCCTTCGACTTGATAAAAATCCTTAATTTTTACTATTTAAGTGCGAAATATTATTTGACTTAAGGGTCAACATCACATTACCGTATTTACTAACTGAGACACTTAATATTTTTAGTGTTTTCGCTATTAAGGCAACTTCAAAGTTCGCGCAAATGGTTTCTGGCGTAAATTTGGTCCTTCGACTGGATATAAACCGTAAATTTGGTCGTTCAACTGCGAAATATGATTGACCTTGTCCATCAACATGATATTGAAGAGTTCAGCAACTGAGACATTTAATATTTTCCGTGGTTTCAGCTTTGAAGCCAACTTCGAACCTTGCGCAAATGGTTTCTGGCGTAAATTTGGTCCTTCGACTTGACTTAATGCCATAACATACTTTCTCAACAATCAAATACCCTTCAACGGGAACTTTTATTATCAGTTTTTTCTGTTTAGAACTTAAATATAACAAAAATTTCCGGCTTGTAGTCAAAATTCGCTTTGCAAAGCTATGCTGTTAATACGTTATAAAAATTTGGTCCTTCGAGCAGAAATAAACAGAAAAATTAGTCATTTAACAATGAATGGTTATGACTCTGGCCCATCAGCATCATTAGGTAGGATATATTCCCTAAAGCAAACAAAATTTTAGGTAGTATTATTCCTAAAACTTTTTTCAGGGTTGCGCAAATTGTTTCTGGAAAAAATTTGATTCTTCGGGCTGATTAAGGTCGTTAATATTGCATCTCAGCAATCAAATTCTCCTCTTCCAGGCCTTTGAACACATTGCTTTCTCTCCAATACCCTGATGTCTCGTAAAAATACTTCTGTTGGCTTCGCTTATCTGCTTGAAGGTTTGTAATTAATGCTTTGCCAAAATTTGGTCCTTCGATTTGATTTAAGCCATAAATTTGGTCCTTCAACTGCGAAATATAATTGATGTTGGCCATCAACATCAAATTATTGGGTTTAGTAACTAAGACACCTAATATTTTTGGTGATTTAGCGATCAAGCCGTTTTCAAGATTTGCGCAAATGGTTTCTGGAATAAATTTGGTCCTTCGAGGTACTTTGAACTATAAATATAGCATCTCAACAATCAAATATACTCCCCCGGAAACTCTACAAATCATTTTACCTCTCCACAATTCAAATGTAAGTAAAAAATACTGCTACTAGTCCAAATTTTCTTTCCAAAGTTATGGGGTCTTGGCGTTATGGAAATTTGGTCCTTCGAGTTGATATAAAACGGTAAATTTGGTCATCTAACTATGGAAAATTATGTTGCTGGTCCATGAGTATCACTTCGTGTTGTATAGCACCTTAAACACTTAAAATTTATAATGGTATTAGATTTCAAGCTATACTCAAGGTTTGCGCAAATGGTTTCTGGAATAAATTTGGTCCTTCGGGGTATTTTAAACTGTAAATATAGACTCTTAACAATGAAATACCCTCCTACGGAAACTTTGAATATCATTTTATGGTTCTACAACTCAAATGTCAGTAAAATGTACAAATTCCAAATTTTCCAGTCCAAAATTTTCTTTCCAAAGTTATTGAGTTAATTCGTAATTGGAATTTTGTCCTTCGACTTAATAGAAAACGCTAAATTTTGTCATTTCACTATGGAATATAATCTTACGGGTCCTTACGTACCGTTTGGTAAGATATATCCCCTAAACACAAAAAATTTTAGATGCTATTAGTCTTAAACCTTTTTTCAGAGTTGCGCAAATGGTTTTTTGATCAGATTTGGTCCTTCGTTTTGATTTAAACCGAAAATATAGTGACTCCACAATGAAATACTCTTCCCTGAAACCTTTGAGTATCATTTTATCGTTCCAGAACTCAAATGACCGAAAAATGTACTCCTACTTGTCCAAATTTAATTCCAAAGACATTCGGTTAATGTGTTATGGAAATTTGGTCCTTCGAGTTAATAGAAAACCCTAAATTTCGTAATTTAACTATAAAATATTCTGTTACTGGTCCATCAGCATCATTTGATAAAATATAGTGCCTAAAACACAAAAAAATAGGTTGTATTAGTTCTATACCAAATTTCAAAGTTGCGCAAATAGTTTTTTGGCCAGATTTGGTCCTTCGACTTGATTTAAACCGAAAATAAATTGAATCTACAATGAAATACTCTTCCGCGAAAGCTTTGTTTATCATTCTATCGTTTCAGAATTCAAATGCTATAGATAAGCACTTCAGCAAGTCTTTATTTCCCTTCCAACTTCTTAAGTTAATACGCTATGAAAATATGGTCCTTCGTGTTAATCGAAAACCCATTTTTTTCCTTTTCTCTATGGAATATTATGTTGCTGGTGCTTCAGTACAATTTGGTAAAACATATCCCCTACAGAAAAAAAATTTTAGCTATTTTTAATTCTACACCCTATTTCAGAGTTGCGCGAGTGGTTTCTTGAGTAGATTTGGTCCTTCGACTTCCTTTAAACCCTTAATATAGAACTTCAACAATTTAAAATTCTTCATCTAATCCTTCGATTATCGCTTTTATCGATTCTGAACTCAAATTGCTCAGAAATGAACTTCTTATAGTATGACTATCCTTTCCAATGCGCTACAATTAGATCTTTTTGGTAATTTGGTCCTTCGAGTTGATATAAACGTTAAATTTGTTCGCTCATCTGCAAAATATTATTTGTCTTATCGTTCCAAATGATTTCGTAGGTTATACCACCTAAAGTACATATAATATTT